GGTCGTTTCTAATTGTCTTTGTTTGGGGTAGCAATCCCCGACATCACGCAACGAAATCGTGGATATGTTGATCGGTCCATTACCGCAATCGAAACCAATAGATGCTTTTGAGGACGCCAACAATGCCAAGGAAGCACCAACTATTACGCATATATTGCCCTGAAAAATTTTGTTTACGCAGATAGTTTAATATATGTGTTTCTACTTAGATTTGTTTATTTATATAAAGGTAGTTTTTAAAAATTTTTAATTTATTTAAAATATAAAGAATGTTGATTCATTTATCAATGTTACGCCCAAATCATCCCGAGGAGCATATGTGGAAACGGCCGGAAAGGAGTATTTTTTTTTTTTAAATGATATATATGTATGTATATAATGTAATGTAATATAACTGTGTCGCTTATAGGCCACCTTCCGACCCGGGTTCCCCGATTCAGATGCTCCCCCTCCTGGGCCCTTCGATTTGGTGAATAGCACTGATAAATCTTACAAATCTTTTCATTGCATCATATTTGGTACTACACTTTTTGAAACGCTTAAGTCTGTCCATATGTACCTGCCGTGTTTTCCCGTTACCCATATCGATTATTGCTTTATTTTTGTCAGTAAAGTTAATTAATTTATAAAGGCCTTCGTAAGTGTTTCCAAATTTGCCCGTCTTAACTGCAGCTAAAAAGACTTCATCTCCGATTCCTAGATTTTCCTCCACCACGTTTCTATCGTAATATTGTTTGCTTTTAATTTTTGAGTGTTCCAAATTTTCCTTTGCTAATTTTTGTAATTTATCTAATGTATCATTATAAATTATTTAAATATTCTATGTATGCTAAATTTCTTCTATGGTAGCAGAACCTGATGGTAATCGTGCAAGATGGCCGAACACAAGTTCGTGAGGTGTACGTTTAGTGCCTTCGTGTACACTCGTATTATAGGAGAGCATGGCAGCGTCCGACCAATCATCCCAATTATTTCTTGTATAATTTATAAACATATTTAGATATTCAATTAATACATGGTGCGATCTTTCGATCGAACCATTCGATTGTGGATGATAGGCTGTCGTTGTGAGTAATTTTATGTTGCATTTCTTTGCAACTCCCCTAAATAGAGCGGAAACGAAGTTTCTCCCTTGATCTGTTAAAACTGCTCACGGTGAACCAAAAAGACAGATAAAACCTTTAAAGAATACGTCAACTGTGGCAATACTAGCAAATGAAGCCAAAGGTAGAGCCCGGGAATATGAAGTTAATAGACATTGCATAGTTAAAATGTATTAATTTCTTCTTTTGGTCATGGAAAGATGTCCCACGATATCTAAGGCTATTTTATCAAAAGTGTGTCCCAGCGTATTTGTGATAATCATCGGTCTTTTGGGTTTTACACGAATCATTTTTTTCATTTGGCATGTTTTGCAATTGTTAATAAAATTTCGAGTATCCTCTTCCATGTTATTCCAAAAATAATGATTCCTGATTCTAAAATATGTTTTACTCACTCCCTTGTGTCCTCCTATCGAAGATGAGTGATATTCGTCGATTATGTCGTTAATTTCGTTTAAATTTGGTGTCCTTACTAAAGAGTTACATATTATTAAAGCTAATTCCAAATCCGAAAATAAGTCCTTCATAATTTTTTCGATCGTTTGCCAAAGAATATCACCCAGTTCGCATGTCTTGGCAATACTTATTTATTTGAGATTCAATTCTATTACTACATCTAAAAGTGATCTTAAAATATTTACTACTTTTTGTTTATTTAATGGCTTTTCTAATGGTAGAGCAATTAATTTTTTGTCCCGTGTATAACTGGAAACTTTCGCTCTTTTGGGCATGACGTCTTTGTATCGGGGCAGGTTATTCATTTCATTAAGTTCCAAGGCGCTCTTGTCTAAAAGTTCGCCCTGGCAAGTTTTAAAAATTACGAGATTGTCTTTCCTGTTTTTAAGACAGTCTCTTGAGTTAACAATTTTAAATAGAGATCCCAAAGCAGCGGATCGTGGAACGGCGTGAGGATTTTGTTCCTCTGAGTCTGTGGAGAAAGAAGGTTCAGGAGAATTCGATCTGAAAGAAAAAAGTGATTCGGGTAGGGAAGGTTAGGATGAAGATTCCGGTAAATTTGTTGAAATTTTGGGTGATCGGGGTCCGGTAGTTTGTGACAGTTTGGCAGTTTTTTTTATTAATTTTGATTGTTCTGAAGGTTTTCTCCTTTTTGAAGCTGTTAATGGTTTTTGTTTTTTATTATGTTGTGTAATTGGTATTGGGTTCTTTTTAGATCGTGTGTTATAAGGGTGTTATATTTGGACTGAGGTCGTAATTCCGTCGGAATTTTTTCTAAACCTCTGTCCCCATTTAAAACCATACTGATGCATTATCTTTGTTACCCTACCGGATAAATCCCAGGGTACTATGGGTTTAATTGATGTTACTGGATTTCTAGACAGTGCATCCGCGTTTAAATTTATACTCCCAAGTTTATAAATAATTTCATAATCATATAACATTAATTTACATTGCCAATTCCAAAGCCTGGATGTCTTATTTTTTATTGAGTTTAACCATACCAGTGGCTTATGATCCGTAATAATTTTGAAATGTTGGCCGTATACATAAGGCCTATACTCAATGACACAATGTAAAATGGCTAGACATTCTTTTTCAATTGTTGAATAGCGCGTTTCCGCTGATGTATACGCCTAGAAATATACGCTATCTGTAAGTCTTTTCCTATCTCGCCTTGGCTAAGGACGCCGGCTATTGCATAGTTTGATGCATCGGTTGTAATAAAAACAATTTCGTAAAATTCGGATGTTGATGTTGAAGTAAAAGATTAACTTATCAAGTCTATGCACATAAATAGTATGAAATAAATACTCTTAGATTATTCTTTTCGAAATCCATATCGACTATTTAAAATAACCACAGTGAATCACTGGGAACCGTTCTAAGTTTTCGACAAACTCCACGTGGCCCCGCCATTTACCCTCATCTGTCAACACGTGCGAAGCATAAAACACCGTATACCACGGCTGGGGAGTTCGAAGAACAAGAAACTTATGATCGAAAAGATCAACATTTCTCCTATCTTCCCTAGGACGTCATTGTCGCCTTAAGCATAGTCTCTCCATTTTCTTAATAAAGAACTCTTAGTTAGAAACCGTCGCCAATACCGAGTTATCCGAAACCTAACATAAACCAGAGCCGATGTCTCATATCCTTCTCAGGATGCAAATGTCAAATAAATTCAACCGACGCTTGACCGATAGAATAAACCTCCAAACAATCTTAACTCGAAACCAACGTATGGAAACTTCTCGAATGATCTGTAAAGAAGGATATAGAATATTCTTGAATAGTTTAAACTAGAATTCCTGAAACTCAGAAATGATAAAAATAATTATTGTACTATGAATCCTCATATTGCGCCCTCTCGAGTAAAGACAGGAAAAGGGAAGGAGAATTATAAAATATTGTTAAAGAATAATTAAATAAACATTATTATAAGACCTTGTAGAAGCTAATTAAATAAGACTAAAATATTTGCGAATAAAGGAATTGCGGTATGTCATGAGAATAAACGACGAAACCCCAAAAGGGAAGTATTGAATAAGACTTAAGATTTAGGATAAACAAATTATATTAATTACTAATGAAATGTTAAATTTAACATGTAAGTCTCCTTAAGAAATATTCTAGAAACGATGATGCATCAGGAAGGCTTGAGTTGGCTGGAGCCTAAGGGTGGGGAAAGGACTATCCCCTCCACGACGGGACCTCCGGTCCCTATAAAAACTAGGAGGGCTTTGCCTTCGGGCTCTTATTATTCCTTTTAACTTACAATTATTACGTTCATTTTGATAATAATCCAGTTTTGATTTTCGACTTGGAATTATTAACTCGCAGCTTGATTTTAGTAGTACTTGGATTCTTTACTTTTGAATATTATTTGAATTCGAGTTAGTCGAACTTGTGCTCATTAAAGAAGAAACTCGTAGTTTTATTCTAGTAGTTACCTATATTTGGATTCTTTATTTTCGAATATTATTTGAACTTGTATTAATTGAACTTGTGATCATTAAAGAAGAAATAAATCAGTGACTAAACCAAGCACTCCTGAAGCAATCACGATTGATTGGATTACTGTAAAGGATTGTGTTTAACTAACTATTTGTAAGTAAACATTTATAATTAAATATCTAAGTGAACCAGAGCTACGGGAATTTATAATTTGCACCATAGTCTTATCACTTGTCCTTCACGCACCCCTTTTTCACCTCATTCTCCCCCTTTTTGCCATTACTTATCGTTATTTAATCTTGGGAACACGAACCTGTCTGGTCCTGACTATACTCGGTGAACACAGGGTGGTCAAAACAGACTTAGTACATACTACTTAAATCATTTTCGTCAGTTCAGACGTAACAACTCGTTGCACCTCGCTTCTCATAATGTTGCCAGTTTTAGGAACTTTACAATAATTTGGCAAGATTAAAGATTTCAGATTGTTTTATCACCAAGGAAAGAATATTTTACTTGATTTTTTGATTCATTCCTAAAATAGAGTGTTTGCAGCTTATGGTTAAGGCGATCTTTTTGTTTTTCGAATTGCTACTGCGATAATAACTTTGTAAATCTGAGGTATTTTTCTGTATACCGTTTTGTCAATGAAAATAAACTTATTTCTAAGTCTGTAGCTCCTAACCCTCCTTTTCGAGCAACTAACCTTGATATCCTAATCCTACGAAATCCATTGTGACAATATAAACGCTAGAATTATGTAATTTAAAACGAAAATAGGAAAAAAACTTAAATATAAATCTAAGAATTGTAAAACCAGACCAAATAGAATGGAGAAAGCTAACGTAGAATAGAAAGAAAAACATAACGCGATAGAAATTAATTTATAATATTCATTTTTTCAACTCTCCCTTTTACGACTTCAAAGTACTTTTCTATTAAAACTTTCTTAGATTTATTCAATATTACTAGAGAGGTCACGTTTTATGTATGTATATATGTATTTTAATGTTCCCATTAGGTTACATGGCTTTCGTTTATATAATTCACACATCTTTTCCTTTTACAAAAACTTTTTACAAAAATTCTTAAAACTAACTCCATACTTCCTGCCACGCCACTTTATCTCTTGACAAACATTCTTTAAAAACATTTTTTAATTCTTCTTCTTTACCTATACTCTTGCACAAATGATTGCTCCCTTCTATCTCTTAGCTCCTTCCATTTCTTTCTACTCCCTATAAAGTAACCTCGATCATTGACGTCTCGATAATTTGATGATCCTGAAGAGCAAACTGCTGCTTGTGCACGAATAAAAACGTCAAACAATTGAAACTTCAATAAGTGATCTTGTGTATATATAAACCCCTCCTCATTTCAACCGTTCATACCTTTTTCTGTTTATATTCCATCCTCCTATCTTCTCTACCACTTTTATCTTCCTTAAATTCCACCTAATTCTTATTCTGTCCATTTTAACCGTACTTCTGTCGTTTATCACTTCCCTTTTTGCACACTTTATCCTAATCCTATGATTACTTTCTTCACTAATTCTCCTATAAGAACTTCCTTATACACTCCTATTCCAATACTCTCATACCTTTACATTTCCATATAACATTTCCTGTCTTCTCATATCATTAATTTACTCTACCCCTCATTATCTACATCCTCAAAAGTTACAAATCTTTTGCCTTTTACCCTCTTTAAATCCTTTCTTCTTACATCAAATACTTACTCGAATCTCTATTATTCACCTCCGTACGGTTACAATTCTCCCGTCTCCCTTCATCTTTTTATACCTTCTCACTCTCATATCCTTTTACGCATTCTTTTTTCATATATTTCCATTTAACTATCATGATTCCTGCCTTTTTACATCAAATTAACTATCCTTATTATCCAAATCCTTACGGTTACAATTCTTACGTCTTCTTCCTACCTAACATATCTCTATACACTCATAAATATATTCTCATACCTTCTTATTATCACATTTTTACATTTCCATCTCTTAATTCCTGCCATCTTACATTTGATCCTTATTTTAATCCTAATTATTTTAAATACTCATCTCTTTGAGGATATAAATCTTCTGTCTTTTTCTCTCTCTAAATTTGTCTCTCTTCCTTCTTTCGTACATTAAACTCTCTACTACTTTTCTCATCCTCTCTGTCCTCCTTGTTGCCTCATACATTTTCTCCTTAAACAAGCTCACTCTCCCTTACAATACTTCCTTTTTTTTCTCCACTACTTTTCTCCTTCTTCCGTTTGTTTCAGACGCTTCTCCAATCTACACTTACCGCTCCTCCGTGCTTCATGACTTACCTCATCTTGCTCTTTATGTCACTTATTATTTCACTAATCACTTCATCTATGTCCATCATCTCCATACTTCGCTAACCTAGTTATACCTCCCCTTCCTCTCCCTTCAGACATTCCCATTCATCGGACTGCCATCCTTCCTTTCCTGCTCTTGCTATCTCTCCGCCCTCTTCTCCATTCTTTCCTTCTCATCCCTTGCTTTCTTTGACCTTACCATACTTAGTTCTGTTCCTTCATGCTCTCCAACAGGTGGCTCTGTCCCAACTCTTTCTCCTAATCACTTTCTTCCTCACCTCTTCTACTCCTCTTCCTTCTGTTCTTATACCTGCCGCCCGGTTCCGTTTCTTACTATCGTCTCCCTGTCTGGCAACCCTATGTCGCTTCCTTTGCGATCTGGCCACTTAACACTTTACCGACTGCTAGCTTATTAATAGTCTTTTTGTTTCTAACGCTTACCGAACAAAAATTTATTAATCTGCTGTTTGTCGTCGACCGATAGGTTATTAATCGATTGACATGGCGGTGAACAGTCATTATCATTACATATACAGTAATTTTTTATTAGAATCTTATTAGAGTATCTTATTAAAATCTGTAAGTAGAGTCTTAGGCTGAGCGGCCGGTCGGACGTGCGTTTGCTGTTGAAACGCTAGCGGTCGGTAAATTATTAACTTTTCTTCCTAGAGATGTTTCCTGCCTTCTTCCTTTTTTTAACTTCTTAAAACCTTTTTGTTTCTTTTTCCCTCTTTCCCTCAATGTTCCACACTCCCCCTCACCTTCTCCACCGCTACTTATCTCACTACTTCATATTTCCTCCACCTTTTCCTAACCTCCTTTGATAATAAACCCGCCGCAATTACTTTATCCCTGCATCTACTAATTCCACGCATCTTAATCTTATCTCACTGGAAACGATAGCCCGTGTTATACACACACATATATAATATATTTATAATATATTTATAATATCCATAATATAATTATGAACATTATTAATATTTAATTAGAAACTACTTTATTACACCATTTTAATTTTTAACTCTGTGACAATATTAAACAGATCGTAGCCTAGGCATTATTATCATCTCTCGTTTAAAACAAATTATGAAATTAAACGCAACTACAGCTTCTTCATCGTTACTGTTGCCTAAAAAAAATAAAATGTTATTAAATGACATATTGTCTATAAAAATGTCAAATATATATATATATATATATAAATAATTAAACAGTAAGTTTGACATGTTATATGCCATAAAATGTATGAAAAAATATCATAGTAAAATAGTTTAATTATATGTTGTAATTATTTACCTGGTGCGGAGCATTTTCGAATAATTTTAACAATTGGAGGAGGAATGGGCTCTTTTGAGCGATTTATTCGATTCATCAATTGAAATAATTCATTTGGATGAAATTTAGAATCGTGGAACTGTAATTATACAACTATGTAATAGAACATAATACTTATTTAATCTAAGTAATTATATTACAATATTTACCACGCCATGTATTTTAAATATGCATGCTGTGACAGTTCCTACTTTTGTTACCATTTCTGGCGGATAATTTATCATATCTTCACCGAAAGCTGTGTAACTTAGTTCCAGAAAGGTTTCTAATTTGATTAACAAATATAGAACAATCTTTTGATTTAATATAATAAAAACCAATTATTAATACACAACCATTTTCTTACCTAAATCTACACGTCCTTTATTTAAACATGATTGGAAATCTTTTGTTGATAAACCTATATCCATGGCCATTGCTGCAACTCTATCATCTGGAATAGTTGCTTGCTAAAACACAAGTAATTTTAAAAAGAAGATTCTTTTTAAAAACATTATTATTTAATTTTGGGTATTTATATTTACTGTATAAGCACATATCAGGAAAAAAGCAAAGAACACGATACTCTTCATGATATCTAACAATCTTCTAAATATACGATTTGATATAGAATAATATGTAAATGATTTGATAAAAGTCTTACTAGTTAATGATGCTTTACTAATGTATTCTAAGCTTATATACTCTCTATAGATACGCAAACAGTCGAAGGTCGTAAGATAAAACTCTAAAGTGATATTAAAAACGTGACATTATAAGATATTGAAAAGATCAAGAAAGAACGTTGTTTTGAATGATAGGTACATGTGAACGTATAAGTTTGCAGAAATGTTTGTAAACTATTCGAAATGAAAACATTTCTTGGGAAAGAGAAAACTTGTAGTTTTTCTAAGCACGTACAACGAATAAGTGTGCGAAAATAATGAGTCATTAAAGTCAATCTGCGTAAGAATAAATATATTTTATAGAAATTATTTTATTATGAAAAGCACTTGATCAAAGTTTTTACTTTTTTTGTTCTGTATGAATAAACCTCAAACTTAAAGAAAAAATTTACAAGAAAAATCTTTTTTAACAAAAATAATTAATCTCAAAATAATAAAATCAGGATAATCCATCTCATTTTGCCTCAATTAAAAAAATAAAACTGGACACATTCGTAATTTGTAGAGTTGCCGCTATTGTTAAAATACCAAAATTAGGTAAAAAGAATAATAATAATGATTCTTTCTCTAAATTAATATACTGGAACCTGTGACTTATCTCGTATATAGGTAGGTGAGATACGAGAACGAGACGAAGGAGTATAGAGGTAATGACGTATTTAATTCGAATTCAACAGATTAACGATACGAGAGAGAGACGATACGTACCAATAAATCACACAGCTGCGCGACGATATCATACGAGCGAAACACGAACTCATTATCTTCACACAATCAAACTAATTCTCTGTATATACATATATAGTGAATTAGGAGTTTTTATAACGTAACGCTATTTTCTGACGAGTAAATAATGTAGGATTCGTGAAAAAATCGAGCCGCCGGACTGATTGGATCTGGACTCGAATCACGTATCTTTCGCTTACCGGGCGATTGCTCTTATCTATTTAATTTTCCAGGGTCCATCGATGTATAATCCTTCAATCCTTCCACTAATGCCTTTTTAAGTATTTGGCATGGAGACACTCGTGCCACAACAAAGTATTTACTATCTATAGGCTTAACTATGACTTTTATTTACCTGTTTGGCTACCACAGGCCGCTTTCATGCTCTTTAGATTTCATGTCAAAAAGTCCTAGCGCATTTCGTCGATACAGACAATTGATGGTGATCTAGCATCACTCAGCATTTCTTGATCGTCTTTTTTGAAAACCCTCCGGTAGTCAAACGGTTAATTTTGTTGCGCGGCCATTGCCTTCATCGGTTCTTATAAATCGCTAATGCCGTTAGACCCGTTGAATTAATGCTGAATTGGATTAGATGAAGTGATGTCATGATTTCTAATCCTTTTAATAACAACGAGGTTTATTGACGTAGTTCGCTTACAAAGAAATTATTCGATAAGTATTGCTTGAGGTTACCTGTTACAAATAGCTAATGATTCAACAAAATCTCTTTCTTTGAATTACTACTGCGATATTTGCAAATCATAACTAGTTGTTTGTTTACTCAAATTACGCTTGTTTAATATTAATGTTACAGTGCAATTGTCTGTAAATGATGTTAGAATGCAACCACTGTAATGATTGTTATATTGCAACTTGTCGCGTACGTTTTAATAAATTCCTTCTCGCTTCGACGTCAAAGAATATTTTTAAATTTGCAATCTGAGAAATCTGAAGCTATTGTAAGTGAAACAAACCACGCAAATTAAAAAATTTTCCAACCCGTTTTCTGAACACAGCTAACTGAAACACATTTTATAAAATGATCCAAACTCTCTTGACATTATATTGAATGATCGAACATTCTATACAATGCCCGTAGTAATATATTATCCGTAACATAGACATCTCTGTAAGCACACAAATGTAAACTATATATATAATAAAATAAATATTGTTTAAGTTTAAGGCCTTACAATTATCAGAAATTAAAAAAAAATTTAGAAACAGGTAAACCCCTTTGATGGTACAGACATAGAGACAAAAACATACACATGAGATATACTAAAAAGTAGAAAAAAGATCAACGTCTATAACAAAGAGAACAAAATTCATGTATTTAAGACAGAATTTCCAGCGTAAATATGACTAATAAGGAGTAACTTCTTATCTTGAATAAGTGTTCTTATTGTGGCCACTTCTCTTTCCATTTCACATAAAGCATTATTTTTATAAAAACCCAGACCTCAAGACGATTCGTACTTTTAATTAAGTAACCTGTGCTCTTACTAAACAAACAGCGATTTGATCTGATACAACATTTATATTGTCTGCATATACACAAAGTCAGTCTTCCTAATTTGTTTTAAAACTATTAACTATTGTATTTGTCAGGAACATCAACTATAAATCATTTATTTATTAAGTTTTGCGGGCTTTTAAGTCCAGTTGCTCTCTAACATCAAAGTTTTGTCATTAATATAAGGAAACGTTATTTTATTGACACTATTGCTACGTGACAAAAAAAATATTCTTTGTCGTATGGACTACACCCCCTAATATATAGCATACTCTTTGTTAAATACTTAAATAATAAGCTTTGTTAGTATTATTTATCTATCGAATAAGAAACTAATTATGCGTTTCTTAGGAACAACGAATTTATTAAGTAAAAATGTAACTGGGAAAATGATGAGTAGAAATTAATCAGAAATAAGGATTAGGAGACGAAAATTTAAACAAAAAGAATTTCTTTATTGAATCTTGTTTTTCTATTTTAGCTAATAAGTCTGTATCCTGCAGTCCTGTTTTAAATAATAAACCTATGTCTTATAATCAGTATAATCTGGTGATCTGTTATTAAGTCTGTCTGTTGAAACTGTGGAATAAATCTGAAAGTTAAAGATCTATAAAAGTATACTCTAAAAGAGTCTGTTAAAATTTGTTTACTAGTATCATTTAATCGACCCTGATTCAAATTACTGAAGCGTCGAAAGCACAATCAATAAAAAATTCGACTATATTTTGATTTTTGATATCCTATTTTATGTAAACTAGAATTTAGACAAATCATCTACTGCAATTACTCTCATTTTTAATCGGTTGATCACTCATCCTTATATTATCATTAACAATAGCATTCACAATTCCTCCTTTGTAGTTCAATCAAAAATTGCCGAAACCATATATTATATCCCAGAACATAACATTCATAAACAGTGAGAATGCCGAAAAGCAATTAGGACAATAAACGAGTTCTTTTATAGAACGATTGATTAGATTAGCTTTCTGAATTTTGTAAATTTCATAATGCATTTTTAAATGATAAGAAGGAGCATGTAAATTTATAAAAAAATTATATGTTTCGTGACGTTTTATCAGAATTCAAATAACCTTTAATTACTATATTAAAAGTGTAGTAAAACTAGCAATGCCGAGAGCATTGAGTATATGTAAACACTTTTTACTTGCAAAATTAAATCAATAATGTGCAGCAGTACATTGAAAACAGTCAAACGAATTTAGCATTGTTTTCTTTTCGTTAAAGCTCTTTTATGTTTTAATTCTAGGATATATTTTAACGATTATAATACTTAGAAAGGTAAGTATCTACGCTCTTTTGAATAATAGTATTAAGTAATTGCTCTGTCGAATAATTTAGTGGATAGAAATATATATTTATTTTTCGTTACTTTTTGATACAAAAATACGAGTGGAACAGAAAGACATGGTAAGACAAATTACTTAAAAGAGAGTATACAAAGTCTAAAAATTTAAAAAATAGAAAATAAAATTGGCTTGAAATAATATTGGCTACAGAAAAAACAATATCCTATTCATATAATCTATAATAAAATGCAGATTCAAGAACTATATATTAGGTGTTGAAATTAACTTGTAGCGTTTGATGAGAAATGGCGTAGTTTTACAGTGTTCTGTTTTTTACTTTCAGAAACAAAGTGATCGTAAATCAGCTGTTAATAGGTGTTATTTTTATGACGCATCTTATTCCTAATTGTTAATAACAATAAGTAGCAGCTATTTAATTATGTCGAAATTTTGTCCAAATAAAGTGTTTTTGCGGGAAGTTTTATTACATTATTTTAATATGATTAAAAGTGCTGCGGAAAGTCATCGGAAGTTTACGGTGAACATGCTTTAACTGATCAAACGTGTCGGAAGTGGTTTGCGCGTTTTAAAAGTGGTGATTTTGATTTAGACGACACGAAACGACCTGGACAGACAAAAATATTTAAAGATAAAGAATTGGAGGATTTACTTGAAGGAAATTCATTTCAAACACTTCAAGAGTTATCTACATCGTTGGGGGTTGATTTATCAACGGTAGGAAAACACCTTAAAACTTTGGGAATGATCCAAAAGGAAGGAAATTGGGTCCCATATGAATTAAAACCGAGAGACAGTGAAAGACGTTTTATGACCTGTGAACTACTGCTTGAACGGTACATAAGAACAAAATTTTTACATCGTATTATTACTGGTGATGAAAAATGGATATATTACGACAATCCGAAACRCAGAAGATCATGGGTTAAGCCCGGACAACCATCATCATCATTGGCAAAACGCAATATTCATGGATCTAAGCTCCTCCTTTGTATTTGGTGGGATCAACAAGGTGTGGTTTATTATGAATTGTTAAAACCCAATGAAACCATCACTGGGGATCGCTATCGTTTACAATTGATGCRTCTGAGTCGTGCATTGAAGGAAAAACGGCCGGAACAGAGCAAAAGGTACGATRAAGTTATTTTGCTGCATGACAATGCACGACCTCACGTGGCGAAACCAGTGAAAACATATCTGAAAACATTGAAATGAGAAGTCTTAATCCCCCCGCCATATTCACCAGATATTACCCCTTCGGATTACCACCTGTTTCGATCAATGGCTCATGGTTTATCAGGGGAAAATTTACCATCTTATGAAGATTACCAAAATTGGATCGATTTAAGGATTGTCTCCAAGGACAAAGAGTTTTTTCGACGAAGTATTCAACTACTACCTGACAGATGGGA